ATGGGAGCATGAGTCCATGGGCTGGGCGCTTGGGGGACTGGATAGTGAGAGGTGGGTGATGTGGGTTCAATTGGTCAGTCCTCGGGCGGGAGTTTCGGGGATCGAGGCTCAGTTCTGTTTCAATTTGCACCCCCGCCGACGCGCAATCACTCAGTCGACCCACTGCGTAGTGGGCACCCCATCCAGCTTTCCGCGAAACGCAGGACTCGGGAGAATGGGACAGGGAACGTGTGTTTCCCACTCCCTCACTCGTTCGCCATCGACATATGGTTGTTGTTTTCTTTCTGGCCATGGCTAGTCTGGTTCGGTGCTGCTGCTTTCCACGCTGGCCAGCGCTATGTGCGTTTGTGGAAACAATCGATTTATTTTCGGTTTCATTTCTGATTGGCAATATTTCATTGCAATGTCGTCCCTTTTTTGCTTCCGACTCCCCGACTCGCTCCATTCCGTTTGTGTATGTAGCTGGAATATTTGTATTTTTCAAATAATAACGAGTAGTGGGGGATGGAATCGGAGTTCGGATTTGGGTTGGGTTCAAACTGAAAATTCATTTGCAGATGCAAAAAAGTATTAAACACGGTCTCCAGAGGGCATAATATTAGATTAACGAAAAGCCAAACTACTGCTTTGAAAAATGAATTGCGTAATCGAAAAAGTTTTACTTAACAATTAGTCAGAGATTAAATGAGAGATTCCATTCCTCCCCTTTCCAAGAACTACTACAGCTTACCTATATATTTAGATTGAGTCTCTGCCATTAATCTAAGTGGGGGTTAAGGGCAAAGTTCTTAAGAAATAAATGATAAAGCAATGTAGAAGAAGACAGCATTTCCAAAGACAAACTAGAATGTTTTGACTAGCGTAACCCAGTCTTCAAAGGTGTAGCCCAATCCTCAAATGTCCACCGTCTAACTAACATCGTATGTATGTTTGAGGGAAGCCACTGCGCTGTCTCATCCATTCATCCGATGTGACCACCCTTGGTAATCCTCAGAAGGGTTCACCATTCGCCAATTTTCCTTTGGTTCCATACATTTTTTCGATTGGACCTTCCAATTATTAAAATAAATAATGGATCTTCGAATGGTTCAGCATTTCGTGGGTGAAGGGTGAATAAATAAAACCCGTATTGATAATGGACAAATGCCAATCGAGCTGGTGAATGATGGTGTCTTTATTCCCGATACTCGTAGAGTAAAAAACACTGTGGCGTTCATAATATTGTAATGTATTGTCAATATCTATCTATTCACCAAAGAAGTTTCAAATCGGAACAATATTTCGCTATTTTTAACAAATTTAGGTTATAACTCCTCCCATGGACAGTGACGTCATCATCAGTTAGTAAAAATGTGTTTGCCACATCACAGATCCGTGGTCTCGACAGAAATAAATGTATTTTCCATTTTGAAAGAACTAACAAAAAAGCGTAATCCAATCTCATTTAATCCATTCCCGTAAAAGGCAGCCGATATGAGAGCCATCACAAACATAATGTCATAAATAGCTCCAATCCTAAATGATAAATATAAAAACAAAGTTAGCTAAAATGGGTATTTAATTAGTTAAATTGATCCTAAAATGTTTGAGTAATGCAGGAGTCGTCATTAATAGAAATTACCCGTAAATTATTCTATAATGCCCGTTAAAAACAATACATACCATTTAATTGAGGTATGTTTTTTAATATTTAAAAATCCTTAATAGTAGAATTTGAATATAATTTTTATCTTAATGCATCCCAATTAATGACATCAAATTGATGGAAATTTGGCGTGCTTCCTTAACAAAAACACCCCCCAAATACCGGGAGACAAAGTTCATATTAGTAGATAGTCGTAGAAGAGTTGCTGGTGGTTGAGGAGAACGAATTAGAATTAATACTTCGGTTATTGGCATTATCCAACGGCAACACTACGGACTGCAATAGCAAAGGGCCAGCAACACGCACCACGAAAAATTGAACACATTTCTTCGAGGCTTCCTTTGGGAAAATTCACGACATCAGACTCCAAAGCAGGCGGTCAGGCTTTTTATTCTTGCTGGTTCGGTGCTTCGCTGCGGTTTAGCACCAGCCAGAATGTTCTTCATCAAGCAGGCGCCTATTACACTCAGACCAAAAACCTGTTTTTAAATCTCTAAACTATTTCCACTTTTGTTAATACTTAAGATAGGAAGTCTGAAGCTCAAAAATATTTCGATTTCAGACGAGCCTAACCGAATCACTAAAGCTTTAAGAACTTTTTATTTTCGAAAAGGATATTAAGGATTCTTGGTACTATTTTCTTCTGAGTGCATTGCCGCAGCGGAGAGGACGACTCCGACTAACCGGCTCCCTCCGTCCCCGTTCTCGTTGCGTCAATGGTTTAACGATAATTTGCACAATTTTTGAGTTATGTCAATCGATTTCTAATGGGCGTCGCCGCGAATGCTGCAATGGCTGACGCAGGCGAAAATCGGGAGAACTCTGTTGGGATCAGCTCCACTCAGAGTTCCACAGTGCCAGCACTCCAACCTCTGCTCTTCTTATGACATCGAAAGCGAGCAATGATTTCGTACTTGCCAAGATTGCATTAATCTGGTTTCCTGGTTCTCTACTGTTCTCTAATGTGGGATTGGAGCTCTTTAACTGCAATTTCAAGAAAATGACTTCCGAAATGTTATTATTCCCTTTTGTTGTTTTTACGTAGTAATCGTAATTTTAAAAATAATTTATTGAATATGTTTGTATTTGAAATTGTGGTTTTCCCGAAGGGGTGAGAAAACGAGACTCATCGCGGCAGCAGATTCATTCCCTTAACCCGTTTGCTATTTTCACCAATTACCAACAAAATGGCATTTATTGTCTCTCAAAATATATATATCTCTATATATATATATATACTATATATATATACTATACCAATACCAATTTCAGCCCATAAATATGCAAAGGATTTGCGCAATTATCGCAGACTGGACTGAAACCACTTGCAAACACGAAGCGACATTTATTTATGACATTAATGCACGGAATAATATAAATATAAATTGGATATGTATAACCCACCAACAATAATTTCAGGCGGGTCTGCAATTTCGCTCCTGACTCCTGGCCCGTGACCCGTGGAAAGGGGTTGGCCAGGGGATAGAAGGGGGCAGACGCCATCAAATAAAAGCATGGTCGGATGTACCGCGCTCCCATTACCTGGCTGGAATATAAACCGAAATTGCAGTTTATATTTTATTCATGCATCGGAAAAATTGCATCGAAAAATTGTTTGTTATTCGCGGTTTGCAGGCTTTTCCAGACGGCAGAGTGCGGGTATAAATATGGATGTGTACACGCGCACACTTACTCTCAGTCAGTGCTCGATCCCCGGGATAGATTCGATTGCATTTGCATTGCCTACTTATGGGCGAATTATGGGTTGGTTGCCCTCGAACCCTCTTATGTTGTTGGCCACGTACACAAAACCCAATGCGTATCAACGCTTAATGCTTAACAGCGACAGCGTCGCGGCAACTACAATAATTTCAAAAATTGCATTGTTTCGCCGACGCATTTGGAAATGTGACACAAAGTCATCGAATTTTAAATCATTTCGGCTCTCGACGTCCGGGGTGTCCCCTTCCACGAGGAGTGAGGGGGAAGGAGCACAGTTTAGGTTTCCTCTTGGCAGGTTTGCAATGGCATCCTCGTTAGGCCCATCTCATCTCATTTTGGGTAGTTTAGGTAGATGGCTGGAGTGGGAGTGTTGGGCAGTAGGAGCGTATCGTTCCTGCAATTGGCTGTTGCTTTTTTCGCTGCGGGAATACAGCCACGATTTAGTTATCGCCTTATTTGTCTGGCAGTTGGATTGAGGGAGAGAAGTGGCGGCACTAGTCAAGTTTGGAAAGGGAGTGAATATTGTTATTTTGTCTGCAGAATTCCGATATCTACTTACTATACAAATTTCATTTTAAATCGATTTTATTTCGACAAATGACGATGATAAGAATTTATAAGTTAAAAAAGATATCGCCGAGGGCTTCGAATGCCAGAAACCCGTTTCTATATTGGCCATTTGTAAAATAAATAAACACCCAGAAGATGGTGCGATGTGCAACTATACTGGCGACAGCTGTTGTTAACGTCTTGTCTACACTTAAATGACTATAAAGGACACTTTAATCTTGAATTTTCCAACACCTCCTTAATAAGTTCCTTCTGAAACGTGCTGGGTGCAGTTTTAAGATCTTAAAAGCATCAATTAGTTCGACCTGAAAGATCTAATGGAAGGCGAATTTGGCTGGAATAGCTTTGCTTCGTGAGCAGGCTTGGCCGCAAAATACAATTAAAATAATTCGCCAATAAAAATATGTAAATTGTTGCAAAAATCTGAATAATACCTGCGGGTTGCTGCAGAAATAATTATTTGGTAAATTGCCTTGCAAACTGCAGGCTAACTTTGCACACAATGACAAAAACAAATATTACAAAAAACAGGATTCATACTGTTTTGCAATTAATCTCTAAAACAGACAAATCCCGCATTACCGAACCTGCCTACCCCGTCCTTATCCCGTCTGCACCCCGCCATTCCGCGGCTCTATTAATATTAATTGAAAATAAATGCAACATAAGCCGGTTCGGTCAAACAGCAGATGCCCCTGAGATAAGGAGTGGGCGGCAGGGGGCTGCCAGCCATTTTGTAAAATGCAAATAATTAAATGGCAGCCAATAAAATATGCGAATGAGTTGCGCGACACGTAGCAGGACAGTGTGGGTGAGATGTGCATATAATGAAATTCTCCGAGTTCGATGCTAAAGCCTTTGCAGTTAGTCCAAAGTATGGTGGACAGGCTTTTTGGCTTAGAACATATTCAGAAACAAGCATGGTAAGCTGTTAAGGCTGTCTCGCAGTCTTCATAGCCAAAAACTCATAATTACCTATGATTAACTTAGTAAATCTTAGACCCAACAGCCTAAATTAATATCAAATCATCTCAATAATTAATACTGGTTCCTTCTTGAACAGGCACTGGACTACGACTGCGAGGTGCAGGGCCAGGACATCCCACAGGCTATTCAGCTGCTTGGGGAGATGAACAGCAACGTGAAGCAGGTGACAGACTTGGTAGAGGGCATGCTGCAGAGGGTTAAGCGGGGGGAGCTGACCACGGAGTACGGCCTGAGCTTCCTCGAGGTGAAGTACCACATGCTGCTCGACTATTTGATCAATCTGACCTACGTGGTGCTGCGCAAGTGCTCCGGCGAGACCATCGAGGGAGATCCCTCGATCGAACGCCTGATCGAGATCCGCACTGTGCTGGAGAAGATTCGGCCCATAGATCACAAGCTACGCTACCAGATCGACAAGCTGGTGAAGACAGCCACCACTGGGGTCTCAAGCAGTACAGATCCCATACTCTACAAGCCCAACCCAGACGATATGATGAGCAGTGCAGTCGGAGCAAGCCGAAACGATGAGGATGCGCCAGATGACAGCGATGAGGAGGAGGATGACGATGAGGAGGAGGACGAGGATCAGGATGGGGCCGGGGCAGCGAAAATGCCCCGCAAGGCGGCCACAGCTGGAAAGTCCGGAGTGTATGTGCCGCCGCGCATCAAACCCGTTTACTACGACGGCGACGAACGCGATGCCGACAAGGAGAAAAAGGCCATGGACCGGGCCAAGAAGCGGGCCATTACGTGAGTTTCCACTAATTTCCATTTGTCAGCAAGTGTTCTACCCCTGTCCCCCCTTTCCAGGTCTTCCATGCTGCAGGACCTTAAAGAGGAGTACTTGGACGCCCCTACTGAGATATCGTCTGGCTCGCGGGCACAGCAGATGCTGTCTCAGTCGCAGAAGGAGAAACAGGAGTACGAGGAGACCTATTTGATGCGACTGCCGGTGACCAAGGCGGAGAAGCATCGCCAGCGCAAGCTGACCACATTGGGTATGTCCTGGCACTGTCTTCTTTGGAAGATTAATTAACTGAGCTTTCTATCCGGTCCGCAGGCACACTTGGTGACGAGATTCTTGGAGAGATTAGCCGAGAATCGGCCCTGCGCGGTGATGGGAGCAAAAAGCGCAAACTGGCCAAAAAGGGCAAGGGAAAGAAACGCGGCGGTAAAAAGCGGAAGTTCCATTAATCGTGAGCACATTTACTATTAAGTGACACCTTTTAGGTTATAGTTACAACAACAAAATATTTTCAAACTGTTTTCTTTATAGTTTAATTGATTTGATTTGATAAGTTGAGTTTTGAAATATGTTTGTCTTAGTTGCAAAGGGTTTTTCATACATTTTTGAGTCCTAAACACTTATATTTTATTGCATAATGTTAAGTTTTTCCAATTTATGTTTAACTGAATTTCCATTAAATGTGTTTCTATGATTAAAATTGCAATTCCTTCGTGTTTTTGTTTATTTTAAAAACCAATATTATTTTCAGCTAACTAGAAATGGTTATCTAGTAAGACGCTAAGTGCGTAAAATAATTAATATTAAAAAGCAATTAAAACGCGCATTGTAATCTGCAGTAATGTTTGAATCACAAAATTAATAACTTAAGTTAGTTCAGGAACCTAAATTAAATTAAAAACTAACAAAAATTCAAATAAACCTCAGCAACAAAGGCAAACTTTGTCCGTTGCTGTATTAAAAGTGAGCGAAAATTTTCAAACTCAAATTGTAACTTAAGGCACAGCAAAATTAATCGTAAAGAATACAGCCATATTTCGTTGTTTTTAGGAGTCGCAGCTAAAATTTAAAACTTTGGGCAAATGTAAACTTATATCTCGGAATATCTTTTGTTCAAGTCCTAACCAAATTCCAATGCAACCAAAAAATATATGTGAAAATGCAAAACCAAAACTAGAAACAAAAGAAAACTGAACTTCAGTGACAAAAAGCAGATGCCTTAACAAGAGACCGGTTTATACAGTAGGAAGGAACAGATTTTGAGGAAAACCCTGAGTTTACGTACATAAAGCAACGGCCGAAAGAAAGACTATATGACACTATAATAACGTAAGCCCCACCCAGAAACAGACACAAAAACAAAAACTTTAAACTTTAAATGTAAAATTGAGCAGAGAGTATTTGATAAAGTTTTAAGCCAGAACGCCGCGAGGAGAGGTCACTTTAGTTTGAACAGAAAAAGCTCCTAAAAACAACTGAATTTAGACACAAAATTTTATATATTTCTTATATTAAACTAAAATTAAGGCACACATTTTGAATAACCCAAATCGGAGAGATGCTACGTCCACTAAAAGCAGTGTTAAACGAAGGGAAGAACAAAGACAAAGCTTATGATTAAAGCCAATTTGAAAGCGCGCTGAAGAGTATGGGGATTAGTTGGAAAACTATATTAAATATAATAATAATTAATGCAATTAAATGTAAATGATAAACGAACAGATTAGAATAGAACTAGGTTATAGAAGGCGGAGAGAAAACAAGCAAACTTTTGGCTTCTACAACAAACTTTGACTAAGGATGAAAATTTCTTCAAAATTTTTGAGACAACTTTTTGGCTATAAACTTAAGAACAAGCAACGATAGGCAGACAACCCGAAATTACCACATAAATGCAATAGAACTCAAAATTATTTACAGGCACCAAGCAACACGATGTTTTAAGTGTAATTAAATAAATTAATTTAATTAATTTATTTGTGTTGAAAGCTGAAAGACTGAATATGTTAAAACGAAACCAAAATGTAACAAAACAATGAAACGAAAAGATGTCCTCTTTACCAAGTGTGTGTATGAACTTAAATAATTTTAATAGCCGAATTTCTAGCACAAATTTTAAAACGACTAAGAAGCTCTTCAGTTCTTTTCCGAGTCCATTCCTTTCGCCGAACTATCATTTTCCTAGTTTCCCTATTCTTTTTTCCAGTGTATGTAAAAAGCGGAAGCATGAAAACGGATACAAAAGTTAATGTACGAGTATTGCGAAATGTAAAGACAACAAAAACAAAGTGAAAACAACCGAACAAAAGTCGCCTTAGCCAAGCACCACAAAGCAAAAAACACAAAACAAACGATACGAATTGAAAGAAAGGAAACAAAAAACAAAAATTCGAAACCCAAATATAATACTAACTAACTACCATTATTTGTTGTAACCTAATGTAACGAACAAACTGATACTCTACTCACACAGCAGCAAACATCTCCAACAGAATAGTGCAAAGTTCAAAAACGAAACCTATATGTAATTTAATTTTTATAGCCAAAGAAGGAGAATCGAATCGGGGGTTAATGGAGAAACAATTTAGTTTTAAGCAGCCCTACGAAATTCTGAACGGAACTAATTGGTTACTTAGTGATAAATGCAGAATAAATGTTTTAATCAACGACTACAAATTCGAGCTTAAATTATTTCAAAAAACCTTATCTTCGGACTGGAATTGGTTCCAAAAAACTATTTTTTTAACAAACAAATTAAAGTTTATTAACAAATAAAAACGTTGTAAAAATCATAAATTAAATAAAGACGACAGGTTCACGAAGCAATGTTTAAATGAGGGGAAGTCGTTTGCCATCTTACTTATGTAACGTAAATATAAGTTTAATTAATCTACCATTTACTAATAAGATAAATAATATTAATAACTAACACCCAAAATCCCAAAACTGAAAATCTGAAACTGATAATAAATTACAACCAAAAATTCAAAAACAAACTGACATTTTTTGAAGAGATGTAAGCAGTAAGTAAAATTATTATTATTCGGTTAACACAGTAAAGGGTATTTGATGTCCGCGGTATTTCTTCATGATTTTTATATGTCTTCCGACAAAAGGTGTATTGCGAAATTAATGCATTTAAATCGTCACCTACTGGCTAACTCTGCCTCAGACATAACTTTGAGCTCTGCCGAAAAGATACCGCTGAAAGCAACAAGTAAATCTGATGTTTAGGATATGAAAATCTCTACGAGATTTTATAGATTACTTATTTATTCATTGCGTAACCAATTGACAGTTACATATTTACAACGTAATAATCATTGCACAGGAAGTGTATAGATTGCAGCCTCTGCGATTCGTCCGGCTCCTTCAAGAGCCTAGGCCTCCTGCTGAGCCACCTGGGGGACCTGCTTCTCCGCCTTCAGTCGCTGCTTTTCCTTGAGCAGGGCATAGCACTCGGGAACCTTGTTGTAGAAGTCGCACAGCTTCGTCTGCGAATTGAAGGCCAAGTACTTGCCGCAGTTGTAGAGACGAGGATGCCCGTTGACGCACACGAAGTACTTCTTGCAGGTCTGGGGGTGGCGGTAGTAGCGCAGTTCCCCCTCCGGGCTGACGTCCACCTCGGGGGCAGTACCATCGATCGGATCAGCGGCGGGGCAGTTGAAGCCCAGGTAGGCTTCGGCGTTGCAGTCGGCCACAAGATCGGGCCAGTCGCACTGGTAGGTATCCTGGTTGAAGGCCAGTCCCTCGGGGCACTTGGTCAGGCTGGCCACGCCATGGGCACAGTTGCGGTACACGCCGCACTTGGTCGGGTCTCCGTTCGGATAGAAGCCGAACTGGCGTGGACAGTCGTCAGTTCCGTTTGCGGGCTGCAGACGTGCCCGATCCTTGCAGGTGGAATAGGGGGCGTATGTGCACTCCCCGGTCGCCTTGGTGCGCTGGTGGAACAACAGGCCATCCGGACAGAGTTTCTCGACGGGGGTGCCGTCCTGGCACTCGGTGTAGGCGTCACACTGATCCCCCGATGCAAATCGTCCGTTGGGCGTGGGGCATTCCGGTGAGGCGAGAACTGAAATTAAAAAGCAGGCCATTAGGAAAGTGAGATCTCTTGCTGCCAGAGAAGGTTTTTAGTTTAAAAAGCGGGTGTATTTGGATTTTCGTTTTTTATTTTGATCAGCTAGCCAAAATCTTTAACTACAGACTAGAAAACTCGAGCAACTTTTTGCCATATGGCCTGTGTGTGGGAAGTCACAGCTGGACTGGATTGTCGTCTCCTTCGGACTCAGTTCTTCTTGGCATGAAGACGAGCGGCTTTGATCTGGGCCCCCTTCTCGCGGATGGCGCTGCTGCAGTTGGGCACGTTGTCAATGTCGTCGCACTGCTTCAGCTCCTGGTTGAAGGCCTGGTCTTCGCCGCATCCAATGCGTCGTGGACGTCCCTCGATGCAGATGAAGTACACCTGGCAGTTGTCCTCCGAGGGGTGGAAGGTGTAGTCCTCCTCCTGCTCGCCCAGCAACTCCGACTTGAGAGCCGGAGCCGGGCAGCGGAATTTAAGGAAGGCCTCTGCATCACAGTCCTCGACCTGGTCGGGCCAGTCGCACTTGTAGGTGGCCGGGTTCCAGGCCAAACCTTCGGGGCAGTCAAACACGAAGCCACGGCCAGCGGCGCAGTTCATGAATTGTCCACAGTGGCTGGCGTCGCCCATGCGATAGTATCCGAACTGGTGAGGACAGTCCTCCGTGGGTTGGGCGGCCTGCAGACGGCTCTGGGCCTGGGTGCACTCCACGTCGATTGGGTAGCCGCATGGATACCCCGTCGACTTCTCGTTGTACAGAAGGCCGTCTGGGCACAATTTCTCCTCGGCCACTCCGTTCTTGCACTCAATGTAGGCATCGCAGGATCCAGACACGGGAGCGGTTCCGTTCGCCTCCCGACATGCTCCTGCAGCGGCGGCAGCTGTAAGAAATAGCAGAAGGCGGTTAATGTCGATCAAGGGGACGTGGGGACGAGCTTACCTCTAATGATTTATGATGAGAAACTGGCTCTTTTTTTTCTATTTGAACATTGTACATACTTTATGATCGAACATGTCGTGGGACCTGCCGTGGGGCAACATTCCACTTGACAATAGATCGCCTGGTCTTCCCGCGTTATTACGTTCACAAAACTCGGGTATCGAAATTGTAATGAGGTTTACCCGGGTTATTGAACCCGTGGATGTTATGCAGAAATGCTTATTCGATACGATGTTAAGGAAAAGTCTGAGTTTTACATCCTTATCATACCGTACTAGTAAGTGCTTATGATACTATATTGTACTAATAAGAAGTGCTTGGATAAGAGGCCTTGAATAAAGTGAATGATTTTGTTTGGGATATCTCTGGTGCAGACTTGCAGACTCTTCGGATGTATGAACGCGAAATCCGACAGTATTATCAGATTATAAAATAATTTAAACATAATGAAAACTGTCAAATTATTCCAAGTTAGAATAATTAAGCTCCGTTATGCTTATTTGGTGAATAAATTACCAATATTACGATTGCCTTTAAAGAACCAACAAATGGCATGCCACATCGATGTTTAGGTTGTTCTATATAGATTTGATCTTATTTTAATTAGGCGAGGTTTTGTGTTACTTAATGTAGTATTCAGCAAGTCGGGACTGAGATTGCGGTTGATAGTTATTCGGTGGTTGATTTATGGTTATTTAGGGATGCAAAAGATTCGTGGAAGTATTCTTAAATAACTTATTTAGGATTATAAACTAAGCAGTCTGTGTGTTTTATTCATTTTGTTTAGATTCTGACTTTACAGCTCTATCGAAGTAAAAAAAACTAGAATCTTTACCAACCTACTGCATGTAAATATCAAACGCTGTTTAAGAAACAAGTAGAGACGGTATATAGCAGGGGCTTAAAGCTCCCTTAACTAAACCAGTTCCCCTAACAAAAAGGCATATCTGTTGGCACTGACGTCACTGAGCTTCTTAACTTGTTTGTCTTTAATTTCTTAATAACTCATTAAGTAATCTGATTAGAAGATGCGGTCAAATTCTTGCAATAAACTTTCTGTTCGTCCAAAAATCTTTTGGCCAGACAGGCATGGCTAGGTCTTCTGAGCCTGAGAATCCATTTCAATAATGAATATTTAATTTAATGGAAACACTTTCCTTACCCGTTTAAATACCTTTTAACACAATTTAGCCGAACGAATAACGTGTATAACCTGTAGTACCTTTTACACTCTGGTAAAGTGTGGAAGGAAAAAAAGGTAGAACGCTGTATTCGAGGGAAGCGATCTAAGATGTCTAAGTTAATTTAAAATAAAAATATATAATACATTAAAATATTATTAATATATTTTTATAAGGGTTAATGTAGCCATCTGTCGCCAACTCTTTTAATTATTTTTGACAAAAATCATTTTGGAAGATTGAGTGCCGTTGACAAAATAAGACAAAAGGAAGTAGGAAGGAAATCAATGAGGTGTGCGTGGCACAGCTTTTGATTTATTCTTGCACCTCCCTGTTGATCCTAACTTTAGCTTATTTAGTTTCCAGACAGACGAACACAGCTGTTGATCCTGATTGATCATATGGACAAGAATTAGGTACTTTATTTTAATCAATACACCCTTTAAATTTACGATAACCGGGTATATATATATTCATTATAAAACTGTGAAATTTCACTTAAACGATTTGTACAACTGTTCCTAGTCAATATGCAGAATAATTCTTTCTACACTTAAAGAAAAAATAATGTACGAATATATTTCCTGAAATAAACGACCAAGCTAAATAATAAGCTAATATATATTTAACCGATATAAATATAAATTATTTTACTTTTAGGTAGGTCTTCATGATTTTATTAGTGGAGCTAAACAGCTAATGACTTCAATTAGTTACTGACACTAGTGTGTATAGATGCGACTAAAATGTCACGTCCATCAGAAAATCTGTTCCCCACATCAGGGGAAGATGCTGAACCAAATTCAAAGAGCCGCGAGAGGTGCAAAGACGCCTAAAGGTCACAACAACCGGCTGTGCACGCACCGAGATCGATCGGAGGCTTCCAGCTTCCCCGACTCGTCTGACCGCTATCCGCGGGCAAACTCGTTCCACGGCGTCGCCGAGATCGCGCCGTGGACCAATGCGCTAGCATCACCGCCATCCAAAGATTATGCAATGATTTTTCTGGCGCTTCGGCGTGTGAATTGAATTTCTGAAACCGCTGCCGGCGACCTTGAAATTTTAATTTCGGTGTGATTTCAAAAAGTGGCATTGCTTCAGCGGTTCGATTTACCGCTTGCAATAATTACTTGCATTTATTGAGCTTTCTTTCTCCCAACGTTTAGTTTTGTGCAATTTCCTGGTATTGTGAGAAAGGTGCGAGATCAAACTCACGGATATCCCAAGATCACCTCAGTTTCGAAACTGCTTTACTGAGTAATTACAGATTAAAGACTCATTGCAAGTGAATGCGATGCTCCCACTACCATTCAAATATGGAATTTGAGGGCGTTAGCCCTAACATGAAATACCAATGGGCCTTTAAGGAAGTGTTTTTTAATGTCTTTAGTGACACCAACTTATCGATTGCTTAAGATGAAATGAGTAAATGTGATGTGAAATTCAACACTCTGATGCTGGCGTATAAATATTTATTGCATTCTGGAAACCTTTTAGTGTCCAGGTCAACCACAACTGATTTGAATGCGCAAAAGATTGCTACCAAAGTCAGATTTGGCAATAAAATTGTGTAAGTCTAGAAGTACTAACCCATCGAACCAAACATGGCGACGCACAACAGAGCACTGATTATTATTTTTGCCATATTAACTGCCGTGGTAGATCCTCGGAGATTTGGTGATGCAAATGTGGTCCCAGTGGGCACTAAACGCTTAACTTTGGAGGAGAGCTACTGCGATGCTCAGCCAACGAGCTGACAATTTGGACTGTTTTGCGCTAGAAACGCAACGCAGATATTAACTGGTAACTGGCAACTTGGCTTGAAGCTGATGCTCAAGCTGAAGCTGAGGCTGAAGCTCTTCATGAAGATCATCGCAACGAGCCGAGTCGTCGCCGGAGCTTTCTGATCTTCCCCTGCCTGTTGGAGATTCGCAACAGCTTTCGGCGTCGCCGTCTCAGTCTCAGTCTTAGGCTCAATTGCAATAAAAATAAACATGTCGATAAATAACGAACAAACGAGAAGTCTTTGGATGACACAAAATTTCAACAGAAAAAGCTTCCTTTCGCTTGACATGAGTCAGTCGATCATCCCAGCAGGTTCTGCTCCCCGCCTAAGCCAGCTAGCTAGCAACTGTTTTAGATACTGGCCAACGAAGTGGGTCTTAATTTATGTTTGATTTGATTACCATAATTCGCACTTTTGTTTTCGTTGAACAGGCAACCAAAAAGCGAAGAAACCAGAAAATCAAACCTAAAGTCAAGGCCGACTGCGCCCATGAGGCCGTACCAATCACGACAACCTGACACTGATCTTGGGATTAGGCCTTACCCTAAGTTGTGGGGATTTTTAAAGAAGCGAGCTTAAATTAAGTAGTGACGAAAGATGCCACAAAAGACATGAGCCAGAAAAACGAGCTTATAATATATACAAAAAGAGAGAACGACACGCTTAAATATTTTTAGTAATTCTTCTTTATTTCATCAGTTTTGTGTAGCTTTCCTTAGATTTAGCTAGTAGTCCATGCTCAGCAGATTTGCACTTAACTGTTACAAAAGTTTTATAAGACATATGAGGCGTTCTTGAAATATGTGTAAGTCAGAATCTTAGATCAAGGACTTCTGGTCAAATTAGGCATAGAACCTACTAAAAGCTAGTATAAACAAAAGTGTTTTCGTAACTAAAAGGAAATAAACAATTGGCAGGCTGTGAATCAGTTAGAAGACTCATTCAATAGGAATTGATATTCGACTCGAAGTTATAAAAAATAATCCAATTCGATTATTATTATGTACATAAATAGTTTAAGGTTTATTTTATACATACAAAAATATGCCGCGTACAAGCCTCTTGCCTTGCACACGCACAGCTTTGCCAAATCAAGAGAAAACTGGGGATATTTTCCGGCTGTGTGGTTGGTTTTTCTTACAAATAATTTATGTTCTTCGTTTTGTCTAAGGCACTTTTACACTTTACATTACATCATACAAATATACTCTTCAAATCAAAATCAAATTCCATAGTCTATTTATATTTTGAATCCCGCTCCCGGCTACGTTCTCAACAACTTGCATTAGACTTAGTGATATTTTAGTCTTACTTATGGAAAGTACTTAAGTAAACCAATTTTGAGCGAATAAATCTAAGACTTGATTTGCCAACTCTGATCTGGTTTCGGCTAAACCGAGGCTTACGGACTAAATGTGAAATAAATACAAACACCAATGTTGTATGTTGTTCCCAAGTCACTCTCAAAACGTACCTCTACGAAATATTCAACAACATACGTAAAATTTGCTGTGTTCAGCTAAGTACTAGTTATTCAAACTCCTTAAACCGACAGCTTAGCTACTATTATTCTTCTTTATTTCGATAAGGCCTACGCAACAAAAACCTTCAGCATTTCCTTCAGGATCGAATCGTGGACTCGACCTCACAATATGGTTTTTAACATTTATATGTGCACAAGTTTGACTTAATGTTCGACACTATTAAAAAACATATACAAAACTAAGGTTAGGCTAAGTTTAATGCAAATGGGTCTCCGATCCTCCCCTCCTCTCTTATCATTAGGTTTAACGTCTCCATATCGCTTTACTAGTACAAATATCACGGTTCGCATTTATGCTTCTTGAAATGTATCTTCAATTGCATTAGTTGCTCTGCCTACCTTCAGTGCGGTAAGCAAATCAATTCTCTGTCGTCTGTTGTTGAGTTGTTGTGTTTTTGAGTTTTTGTGTTTTTGCGTTTTTGCGTTTTTGCGTTTTCTTGTATAAACTTTAATAGTATTGTGTTGAAACTTGTCTTTAGCCTTTAACTTTGTTACTACTATTACGATTTAACTCTCGAAGTCTATTCAATACGTCTCAATCCAATGATCCTACTCTGCTATTCAAGTCAAATATTTAACGTTGGAATTGTTTTGGCCCGGTATCGGTCTAATCTACGTTTTGGTCTTTGCAGTAAGTCTACATTGCCCAATAAACATGGTTTAATCTAAGGCTTATTCCGCCAGTTCAGAAACACAATGTGGTAAGACTACTGTTTTGCCCGCTTCCATTAGGAATCTTGCCCTGGTATACAAAAGAGGGGTTGCACTCAATTTCTCTGTTGAGTATTTGAAGAAAATCCATAAAAGAAAACTGGCTTCTACTCGTAAATGGATGCACATGGAAAATTCAGCTAAATAACGATAAACTTAAGGTAATGGCCTAGGCTAAAAATAACTGATAATGACTGCCTATGAGTAACGGAAGTCCCTCTGCCTCCAGTCTCCAGATGTTGATTGCCAAGGAGCAGGAGAGAAGGGAGATCCTTAAGTGGTTAATATTTACAGAAGTTCATGGAAGTGGATTTCAACCGATTTTAGGCGTGGCGTCTTAACCAATTTCATCAAGGGACCTGGCCGTTTGGCTGATTGGCCAAAGGGCATGGTAAATGGAGTTCGGCATGCTGCCTAAAAGCCACATTTAACTACGTTAAATCTATTTAAGCTCAAGGCTCTGCAGAGTAGAAAAGGATTACCCAGAAAGCGAAAAAACCCAATAGGCCCTCAAGGCGTTACACGACCCGACCTACAGCTAAGCCTAATTACGTAATGCTCTACTAGTCCTAGGGCTAAGTCTCTAGCTAATTGTAAACACACACTTGCAGTGCGCATCCAATGCCATAGAGGGAATACGAGGCGGTAGAGTCGACCCTACCGACCTATAGCATTGCAAATAGTAACAGTGAAGTTGGTTCTAGTCTTTTCGCCTTCGCCTCCTTCCCGGTCACGCGGGACTGAGCTCAGCTCGGTTTCAGAATTAGTTACTATATCGCACATCCCTTGCGCATGCCGTACATGATCTTCAGCTCCGGGTAGATGATCTTCCGTATCAGCTGGTTCGTCTTGCCCGAGAGCATGGCTCGTCGGTTGTCCTTCTTCAGCACTTTGATGCCAGGTTTGTGGACCAGGAACGCGTTATCCAGTATGTGAAACTCGTAGTCCATCACGCACAGCGCATAGCCCTGCGAGCAAGTGATATCATTTCCGCTGACCAGGAAGAATGAGTGGACTCACCTGAGGCATCTTGTCGCTCTTTCCCTCCCAGCTGAGCCGTTCGTCGTAGTGGGGATCGGCATGGGTTCCAATGTAGATCGGCTCCCAGTGCACGTAGTAACCAGTTCGTTTTCCTGCGATTACAGAAATATAATCTTAATCTGAAGGGTTCGGTTAAGCCTATAGTCCGTACCAATATGGAACACACTGAGCTCGTCCGTCTCGTTGGCGGACATCCACTCCTTGGACTTGGGTACCCCGTGGCAGCTGGCGCAGACCCGCTTATGGAAAGGAATGGCTTTCCCTGTGCGCAGAAACTCCTGCAGTTCGGTCTTGTCATGGGGCACCGGTGAGTTTTCTTCCACCTCGAAGATGGCCAATGGAAATACCCTTTAATTGGAAAAACATTTGACATTAAGTATCTATGGCCTAACAGGACTTTGCAGAGCCCAAGATGACTTCGATTGCAAGTTTGTTCTCTTAAACTAAGAAAGAATCAAAGGCACCCACCTGGGTGCTTTGCGTCTCAGGTACTGTTCGTTGCGGGCAATCATCTCGAGGAATTTCTTGACCAGACCCGGGTTCGGGTACAGCTCGATGTCGGATGCCAGAATAAAGTGGGTGAGCGCCGAATCTCGGGCTATGTTCCGGCCCACGTTGACCGGATAGAGGAGCTTCTTTTGCGCCTTGTACAGGTGGCCCGAACTCACGTTGAAGTACGGAGGCGGGAGAGTGCAGTTGTACCCCGTCTTGAAGACCTCGTGCGGCTTGGGCACCGACTTGGGAATGTGCTTGGTGCCGAAGTAGATGTGGAAGGTGGTGTAGGCGCGAACCAGGTGACTGCCGGGCAGGCAGTCCCGCAGGTACCGGATCGAGTCCAGCGTGGGCTGGAAGTCAGTGCCGGGGGCGTGCATGGCAATGCTCACCGGGGCGTTCCAGCGCTCCAGCAGCGGCACCAGGTTGTCCAGGAACGTGTAGTCCGCATGAGTCGTGTAGGTGATCGACTCGTGGCACTTGATGTCACCATGCTCCGCCCGCACGTAGTTCTGCAGCACCCAGAAGTCGCCGCGCTGCAAGGTCTGCTGGTGGTAGTCGTGGTCGAAGCAGTTAATCAGCGATCGCACCCGCTCCTCCAGCTCCTTTTCGTCGCCTGTGACTATGTAGCCGCCGTCCGACTGAGTGTTGTTCACCTCGGAATTGCCGCCAGAGGCGATACCGCCGGCTCCAATGTTTCCGATCACCTGGGAGGGATCGCCCAGGACAGCGGCTCCGCCACCACTGTCATTGGCCAACTGCGGGGCACCTGCAGCGGTATCAACAGCCTGAGCCGCTGCCGCCGCAGAGTCTGCATTGGAGTTGACCAGCTGCTTCTCCTCAGACTCGAAGATCTCTACCACCTGCTAAAGAGGATAAAGGCATAAAGGCAAATCCCAAGGACGCTTAATCTAGATATATTACGTTCTGATTCTTGGGCGTAGGCGGCTGTTGCTGCTGCACTTGAGCCGCAGACGAAGCGGAGCCCACTTGGAGTACGGACACCTGTTGCTGGTCCTGCAGCAGGAATCCACCGCCATTCGTGAAGTTGTTGCCGCCGCCGATCATCAGCTGACTGCCGATGTACAGGATGACCGCTACGTTGATGAGGATGCTGCAGCGCAGCAACCAGTTGCGACGTGTGAACATTTTCTGGCCCAAAGGCTCAAAACGCATGTTGTAGCTGTAAAGAAAGTGGGTAAAAGTTGTAGTTTTTCTTTAAGTGTATTGATTTATTTTCAAACTCTAATTCTTGTTATCAATTATCAATATTTTTTAAATCAGGAAAAGGAGAGAGAGCATGTAGATATCCATTCCTATGGATATTAAGTGTCACAGCGCCCTCTAGTTGTGATACTTTGAAGTACCTCCACCGCACCCTGATAGATGTACGGTAGATGGCGTTATTGCATGTTTTTACTGCTAAGGTTTGAGAGTCACTGCCAAAGTTTTTTTTGTGAAAACAGAAACGACGTTTCGCAAAAATAAAAAAAATATATTCTTTGAACAATATACTAAAGGTAGAATAAAAGCATTTCCGACTTTATAAAGTGTATTCTACACATATATTCGTGATCAGAACTCTCGCTGAACGCTGAGATCCCCGGAAGTATCCCACAAATTCAGAGTCTGGAATCGAAATATTATTTCATAAATTATAGAGTAATTAAGATCACATGACCCAGTTGAGACATATATCTTGGATCCAGATACTAGCATATTTATTTTGAAATTAATAAGTAAATAAACATTTAATATAATGAATCTGCTGATAGGTCCGGACTACACTCTTCAGCAGATGCATCCCCATTTTTAACTGTAGAATTCTCGAAACTCAATCGATTTACAAAATAATTGTGAGAATTACATATTTTTTGTCACACACACACTTATTTAGGTAACCAAAAGATATTGCCATATATGATGTATAAACATTTGTTTATGGTTTAGATCAGATCGACTTCTTTAACTGCTAGGTAATGGCTTTCCAATTATTAACACACAATCAAGCCAACTAGCGCAGTTTGTTATTTGTAATCACTGTGGGTTTATTCCAATAATTCAAAACAGAATTATATGTCGAGCCTTTTTAGAAGACCGTTTATCAATGTTTTTTAGGAAATTAATTCAATTAACTGGCTTCTTAGCTGGGCTATAAATAGATGCTAGTCATGATTCACCGTTACACTTTGTTCGTGCCTTTTGTTTAACTCCATGCCGGAGCCAAAGTCTATACCCTGCGACTCTTCAAAAGAAACTGCTGAAATCTTGTCTAATTGGCACAGTTTTCTCCGAAGTACGTAACGTAGCGTATTATTTGTGCTCGTTATCAATCAACTGCCCATGATTACTTATCATTCAGCGAAGTATACCAACAAAATGTCGCACAGGAAGTGCTTACGTGGGCTCCGGTTTGCCAAGCACTCATCGCCGCCTTCCAGCACAAACAGATGCGGGTCTGGGCTTTGTCAAGAAATTTCAATGTATTTCTGATATGAATTCCTAAATGAAATGCTAAATGAAATGTACTCGCATAACAACCAGATGAGTGAGCACGGGTTTCGCCATGAATTCGGGAGGTACCGCAGGAATCAACGGTTCGGAGTGCAACGACTTTTGCCAGCTGAACGGGGAATATCGTCGGCATTAGTCAGCAAACAGACCGCAAATTACGTAGAATTATATATTAAGTAATACAATTGACTAAGTACAATTGTTCCGTGAATCTAGTGAATACCGAAGGCACATTCACAACTTCAGCAACTGGAAGAACCGGATCGTGATCTATTTTTAAATGCTGTTCTGATGCCTGATTTATAAATAGATTTTAATCTATTGGACTAGGACAAAAACATTTGTTTTATACTGTATCACTGATGGCTGTTGGATCTACTTGTTCAAAGAAGAAATACAAATTATAAACAGTTGACCTCTAAATTCACTTCACTTACAGCTATGCTAATCGGACGGGCTTAAGACTTTGAAAACACAGTGTGAAGCCATGAACAATATTAATATTTTGAGGTAATGTTATTTAAGTTATTTTTAAAGCGACTTTGCCGAAAAGCGAATGCCAAAGAGCGATTTCAGATGAATACAAATCAATCGCGGCTTCTGGAGAAGACAGAAATATTCATTAGCGGACCTCACCTTGGGGGTCCACACGAGTTCGGAAACTCAAAACTATTTTGGCTGTACGTCCCGTGTTTAGGGTTCATTGCACCATCGTAGAGGTTGATGGAAGGCGGGCGCGTGGGCCTCCTGGCGAGTACGAAAAGTGGGAAGTGCCACCGGTTTTGTGTGTTTCTAGGGCATTGTCGGGTGATGAATACGCAAGGCGTCGGCAGATCCAAGTCCCTATTCATCCGCGCTCTACGCACACAGGAAACCGAGGCAGATACAGATACGGAACGTCCACAGCAACTACGTCTTGAACGACCGCCGAAACAGCATAAAAATTTGCGGTATGCCCGGGGGCAATTTGATAAAAGTTAAAAAACCAATCCGCTTGGCAACTTGTCGAAGCTTTTCTACTCCCTAACGATCATATTTGGCATCGCAATCGTGCCTACGAGCCATATTTCGATAGTCATTTGGTTTGCTTTTGTGACTTCTGGGGGTTCTGTTCCAACATACCTACATATTTTGAGGCTGTTCTTTGTTACTGGCGAAGTCTGAGCTGGCTGGGCGTGTGTGACTCGTTGTGCTGCGGTGATTATGCAAAACCCGAAAGGTGCCTGACTTACAAAATTTGGAGCGAAACGTGAGAATTATTATGAGTTTTCAATTCGCCAACTGAAGGGGTGCCGCAAAAGGGGCAACCTGAAGTGCGGCACACGTTTGGTTTGTAACAAAGATATGATTTCAGCAACGGTTGTGGGCTGTTAAGACTAAGTACTGGGTACTGGGAACTCTTCGAGTTCAAGGGTATTGGTATTTGGCAGCTTGTTTTGGGTCCACTCTATTGGTTTATTATGTGTCAAAGCACTCAGAGTTGTAAAAGTCGGAGTCAGCCTCGCATAGATAGGTCCTGTTTACTAAGCAGTTCACCATTGTAGAGCCTCGTTACGACTTCTTTCCTGCAACAAAGGCCTCCAGTCGGGGCGAACAGGGAACTCGTAATGACAGAGCCCCTGATGACGGCATTTCCACGGGCGAACTAAGGGAAATCCAGCGAAGAAATGGCAAACTGCAATTGACTTTCATGACCATAAAAAATTAAGTTATAACCGCTGAGCCGCAAATGCGGGCTTGAGAAGCAGCCAGAGCTGCTTTGCCGCAGCTAAAGCGCAAAAATAAAGTCGGCTGAAATTGCCGCTGTAATATATTTTAATAGCACAGAGCACAGAGCACAGAGCACATAGCTCAGAGCCGAGAAAACTCCGCACTGCGATCGCCAATAGTCGAGAGCCTGTTTGAGGTCGTTTGGTCAGTGGCTATAGAGGCTATGGTGGCCACAGAGCAGCCAACCTTCGCTTGGCAACAGTGGATCCAAGCTGAGCTGACAAACTCCTCGGTCGTATCTGCTGCCCTCCACTCAGCTCGGTTCAGCTCACCCCAGCCCTCTGCCCTATTAAGTCTAATTAGATTGCGCCGGCCCCTCGTTGAGCAGATCCAGCTGGTCGGGAATGGAATGGAATGCCTCATTATTTCTCTTTTTCGCCTTTTCTTCCTTCACAAATTTCCTTGACGCGGACGCAGGCGAAAATCGTTTATGAAAGCTTTGTTTGCTTCCTTGAGATGTTCATGAGGTGGTTAGGAGGCCTCTGCCCTGCGGTGGGGTCAATAAAGGAGGATCGAGGAATTAGGAAGGAGTGCCCATTATATTGGGAGCCTCTGATGTTCGGGTAAACGAGGGTCAAAACTCCAAAAGTGAAGCCCTTCAATTCCATTGTAGAATAGTCATAGTTTAAAGAAATATAGAGCAGGTACTAGTACTAACTGTCAACGAATGAGAGAACTATCTGTGTTACAGGCAGAATGGCTGATCAATAGATAATCACATAATTATCTATAAATGCGCATTAATGAATTAACCAGCAGTTTGATGTGCACTTAACGGGATGTTTCTGATACCCGTCAGTCGAATGGAATTGTATGCCACGAGGAGATTCTCCAGGCCGTCATCCGCTGGTTGATGAATGCCCAAATACCTGTCACAACATGTTTGCCATTCGGTTATTTATACTCGGAAGAAGGAGCCTTGCGGGGCAGGACCCGACACAGAAACACCCATAAAATATTCAATTTATATTAGTTCGTTTGTTTGGACAGCGGAAACGGCACAAAATGAGTTACAGCCGTCGAACGTTTCGGCCCAGGGCGTGGCCACGTAGGGCATCGCAGTGGAGTCGATGGTTCCAAGCTGGCCAAGATTTATTCCGCCTCGTAAAATATTCCGCGATACTTTAGACTTGGCTTCGTCCAACGGCACTTGCGAAGTAACTTCATTAGCATGGCCAATCAGTGGTTTAAGCCCGGAATTCAGAGTATCCAATACGAGTAAAACTAACATAAAGAAGGTGACTAAAGATCGTGAATCTTAATTAGTCTCATCTATCTTCAGGTCCAGCAGCTCTCAAATATCTCTGATCGATCTCAAATCGACATCGAATCTACATGATTTCACGGATCAAGCTCATCTTCTTAGTCAAGACAAATGAGACAAAAATGAAAACAAGAAACAAGAAGACTAAGATATGTTACACGGCAGCAAGTTTATCACTGTTAAGAAGTATAATTACTCACAGAATTACATAAACATATGAAGGATTTGTTATCTTCTGTTCGCAATTAAAACTATTTTGATTACCTAAAGTTGCTAGAGTTGACTGCTTCTTTCTTTATTTGGATATTGTGGCTTATAAAAATATCCGATTTTCTGATTCATATTGATTTTTTAATGTTTTCCTTCCTTTTTAAAAACAATTAATAAAATCCAACAGTTAGACCTTCATTGACTACAAATACTGAGTAATTGAACTAATTTAAGCCAGTTCGAAAATCCCTAAAACGAAACAATATTGATTCTAGTTTGGCAGTTAATTCTCTTGTTTGAGTAACTACCGATTAGTTTTGGAGACCCTCCTTGCTCGGAAATATATCATTCCATTTCACTTACTGCCATAATTATTGTCATGGCCCTGTAATCTTACCAACACAAAGGCATGCGGCCAATTACTT